GGATGGGGTGGGCGGGGGAAGGGGGTTGGGGCTTGTAGTAGTTTAGAGGGCTTCCGGGTAGGTTTGGGAACTGGTGCCGGGGGGCTGGTCAGTGGTGGGTGCCAGGCCGGTTGGTGTTGGTCTTATTCGGTGGTATGAGGGGTGCTTTGGGGGTTGGGGGACTGTTTTTCTTTTGTGGGGGGAGGGGGGTGGGGGGGGCTGTTGAGTGCGCAGGTGGGTAGGGCCACGTGTCCGAGCCCCCGTGCACCGTTTCAGTTTTTCCGAAAAGCGCGGGAGCGGCCCGTTTTCACGTTTAATGGGAATTCAAGGGGAGTCTTTCAGTTTCAATGGGATTCAACGGGATTCAACGGCATTCAACGGGAGTTTAATTCCCCTGTTCCCCGTTAAAAAGACACACAGCTGCTTGCTCCTGAGACTGTACGGAAACCTTTTTCTTTTTCCAGGCTTTGGTTGTAATCCTTGGTCCATGTGGGCGGGCGTGTTTCTTTTCTTTTGTGTCTTTTTTTTGACTAAGTGACAATGCAGTGAGCCAGGTGCTTGGTACCCTCCACTGTTCCAAACGAGCGAGTGCCCTCCTGGAGGATACGGGTTGCACCTGTATTCCATTGGGCGAACAATGTTTGAAACGGACCGTGTATCTCAAGGACATGTTGAACGGTTAAATCGCATGCACGAGGTCTGGGTCCCAACTCAATTCCATGTTGACACATTTGTGAAGAGCGGCGTCAACAAGTCTAAGGTAAAGCGAAACTGCACCACTCTGATTGACCTCAACTTCAGAATGCGGATTGCGAATGCCAGGCTTCGATGTGTGTTGAGTGTGTGAATCGTCAAGGTTCGTTTCTCCAATGCAGTGTCCTGTTAAGTGAGAGGAACCCTGTCTCCATCTCTTATGCCCCATTCTGCCTCATCTCTTTTCGTGCCGCCTGTTTGTTGAGCATGGCTCAGGAAGTCCTGCCAGGTCCGCAGCTTTGGCCTGCCCTGGGGAATATGTCATGTATATTTTCCCTCCCGTTCTCAATAGACAGAGGTAAAGTGCACACCATACTAACAAACCACCCAGGCTACCAGAGTGACCCGGGACCACTTGCCCGGCCAAAAAAAAAAAATATACCCAGTGGGAACTGTGGGATGGTGGGACAATGATTCAGGCTATTTTCAAGATGAGTGAATTTCTGTGTGCATTACCGAGTCATACTTTATTCTGGATTATTGATCGACTCTCGTGTGACACCTGTCGGGACAGGGATGCGGTGCGTCTTGGCTGCAGAACATCAACATTATCAATCTATTGCAGCCGCCGCCGTCTGTGCCGAAGGGTGTCCAACATTTCCTCATTGTACATGTCCCTATCACCTGGATATTCGCTGTCCCTTTTGTGCTCAAGGACGCTATCAGGACTGCATGATGCCGCACTGTGATGAACGTCCTGCGTTTTTTTTGACATGTGGACAGCAGGTCCTTTGTCAGGACTGTTTTGATGGGATGGTCAGTGCTAGCCGTCCTGCTGAATGCTGTGCTGAAGTAGCTTTCCTTGGGTATCCTTGTGAACATCCACGTCATCCTCAGCGTGCCTGTCCTCTATCTGCCGGGGTGGGGGCTCCTCTTCCTGACTGGTCAATAGAATTAAGCGATCAGGGGCAACACCAATATTAGGACAGATAAAAGAAAGAAAGAGAAAAAGTACACATTTCTGGAGAAAATAAAAAATAAAAAAATATGTTGAACTTTGTAGTGACAGTGGCAATGGGCTTATCTGTGGGATGTGTTATTTGCTTTCTTCCTTTGTTTTTTCTTTGACCTTTCTTTTTCTCTTGCCTCTGTGAGGTCTGGTTTCCCCCTTGTTTTTACCTTTTTGCCTTTTGGCTGCGTGCAAGTGGGTCCTTGTGACACACGGGGATGGGGGCAGCCAGCGCTCAACCTGTCATCCACGTGGCTGGCCTTGTACGTAAGAGGTGATGAACAGGTGGGGCTTTCCTTCCTTCCTTCTTTTCCTTTCCTTGTTTTGCTTTTTTTCACCTTCGGGCTCTGATTCACAGTGTGACAATATATACTGGGCAGTTCTGWTTGTGACGATATATATATATACTTTTTAATTTTACTTTTTTTTATATTTTAAATTTGGTAAAGAATTTCGATGTGACCCTGAGGCAAAAGTTGTTCTGTTTAGTTTTCTGCAGAACATTCTTTTTTTGCGCTAGGACTTTCCCTTTTCCTTGCACGGCCGGGCCGCCCGGGAAAATAGGGTAACCCGGTCGGCCCGGCTGGTAGCCTATCAAACCMCCCCCCCCCCAAAAAAAAAAAACGGTGAGGCAAAAGTGCACTTGAATGAAAATTTGCATTCAGAGAATTTTCAGAATTTTCAGCGTTTTTTTGGAAATGGTCACCACAGACAATTCCAATGGACAAAAACACATCAGAACATTGAGAAATGGTCACCAGACACAAATCCAACAGTCAAAAAAAAAAAAAAATCACAAAAAGGTGGAAATTTGGCCAAAAAAGCCTGATTTCAGCAATGAAAACAGTTTACCCGTTAACACTTAACAGTGTTGAGGAAAAGTAAAGGGATGCATACCTCTTTATTCTGGTCAGCTGATTGTATTGGGTCTGGATTCGAAATTTGGGCCTGTATTTCAACAGTTTGCGGGTGTAACAACTGAGCTGGGCTCATTGGTGAAATGCATAACTAGTTGGTGCAATGACCAGCACTGCTGCAGTCTGAGGGATCTGCACTATCTTGAGAGCAAAAGGGTGGCTGCAGCCTTATGTGCCCATGGGACAAGAAGCTGCAGCTTGACATCATGAGCGAGTGCCATGATGGATGATGTACAGGGCCATTTCATTTCGGTTTGAAGAAGACGTAGCTGTTGCAGCTGGAAGTGATTTGATAGGATGGTGATGATGAGCGGCAATCTAGAATACGGAAAGAGCTGTACTATCTATCAGTCACTGTGGTCGAAAGGAAGGGTGCAAACTATTTCCATTTTCTAACGGGACAAGCGTGTTCATCTCTCCATGGACTGCGACTTCATGGAAGGCTTTACCATTACACAAATGGAACGATGGCACTATTTTGGTCACATTGACTGCTACAACATGTTCCATTTGGAAGTCGGCATGTACGAAGAAGGAAAATGCCAAGGTCTTCGGTGACAAATTGGGCATTTGAATTAGAGTTTCCCTCTGATACTGTTAACGACAGAGACACTTGCTTCACAAGTGATACGATCCATTACAGAATCTGATGGAATCTGGCAACACCCTCAACATATGCTCGGCGCATCATCCTTATAGTGATGCCCAACCAGCGAGAATGAACAGGATGGTGTAACAGGCCCTGCTACATCTGACCTGACCTGATTTGATCGACTGGGATCGGTACTTGGCCAAGGCAGCGAGTGCCTGCAATGCTTCTGTGCATCCTGTTGTTGTGCGTACCCTTGCTGAGCTGCAATACGGTTGGAAAGCCACACATTTCTGGTGTCCTTGGCCTTCGCTGTCCTCGTTTTTTTTTGTTTTTTTTTTTTTGGGAAACTTGGCTCCTTCTATTCTGGGGAGCAGCAGTCCCGTTCCTTTTCCCCCGGCAAGTCAAAAGGAATACAACCCGACAGCACGCTGCCCCGCGTTACGGCCCAGGGAACCCTGACAGCATTGATTACTTCCCGCTTGGAAAGGATTGACTTGCCAGTCAAGCCCATGCTCTGGTGTTTGCTGTCCTATTTTTTTCCGAGAACTCTGAAAGGCTATCAGGAGGTGCAACATGGCCCAGGCAAACTTGAGAACGGAAATCGGCTCATTCTGAAAAGTCCGGAGACTCGGGGCTGCCGGACCAAAATGGCTGGAGGTGCTAGGAAAAGGGAAAGATAAGGCGTGGAACCGGCATTTCGGCAAAGCTTGGTGCTCAGGGGGAATCCGCTGCGGCAAAAAAAAAAAAAGGCCTGGGATGTACTGGTGGTTTAAGGAGGGAAATCTGTTATACGGGTAAGCATCGATGGATTTGCGACATAAGAAGGCGTCATCAGATGCTGTGCGGATGTTGTTTGAAGTGCTGCATGCTGTTGACAAAGATCCCAACAGATCTCCATATCTTGTGGCCGCCCCTCCGAATCTGAGAACGTGACCTATATTTTATGCCTCAAAGCTGCTGCCCTATACGATGTCTCGCAGGCAGAAGGAAGATGAATCCCTTCCACCACGGACTGATCCTTAAATATATGCAGAATTGTCACATAGAGGAAAGTACGGCAACGGCAGGGGAGACCCAACATTATCTATAGGGTGAAGTTCAAATGCAGATACAAGTTCAAAGTGGTATACCCATAACTGTTGAAATACAGACACAAGTTCAAATGCAGATACAAGCAGATGACCAAAAAGAATCAATCTGAATTACCTGAGGCCGGTCAATTCAATGATGATATCTCAAGGCCGTCGCCCTTTTTTGAAAAAAAACAAAAAAAAAAAGGAAGTACCCTGAAAAGATGAAGACGATGAGTGCATCTACCGTACTGAGCCGCTGCAGATTGCACCTAAGATAGTTGTTCAGCTTTGAGAGGCAACTCTGGGAGAAGGAATGAAAGGACCGGTTAACGTTATGCAATTCGTTGCCTCTGATCTGAGACTCTGTATGTGTAGTTGTAATATGGACCAATTTCAGAGTGCAAGTAATTTGTGAGAATTTGATTAGTTTTCTCTGCAGTGGGACTCTTTCTCGGTAGCAGTTTTCCTACTGAGGGGGAGGGCTGTTTCAAGTATGTACTATATTTCTAGGCTGGGCCGCCGCCCGGCCAGGCGTGCCTGGCCGGGCGCGCCTGGGGGGGTCCGCCGGGGAAATCCAGGCGGCCCAAAAAGCCAGCAGGGATTTTTTTGTTTTGAAGGCAGAGGAACCCGAATCTGCAACGAAAAAGTAAACATGGG